TCACAGGCCACATAAGGGAGGTACAATCAAGTACTTCTAGTGGGAACCGAAAGGATCTATTTTCATAAATTTAGTAATCTTTGCTACAGATTCTCTGTGTAGCCAGTGGTAATTCATAATATGAGTTAATGAAATATTTAATAGTTTAACAAATTATTAGGATTGATCCAAGTAGTACTTCATTTGTGTTTTTGTTATACACAAAAACATTAAAATGTCCAAGGAGGAAGAAATCTGAAGAAAAGATCAAGGATTTGAAAGCTCTCTGCTTTGTCATAGAAGAGATGAAATTGTGCAAAACATAGTTACTTGTGTCTTCCGGATTTGGGTCCTGTCCTGCCAAAGGAAATCTTTCTTCCATCCATCCACCTCTCTTCTTTCCCATCATTCAACAGCAAAATGAGTGTCTAGCCAGAGCTTTTTGTACGATCCAGGTTTGATCAGCTTTATCGCCAGTGTCTGTCCTGTCTACACAATAAGAGTAATTGGGAGGGTGGGAGTGGGGGGAAGTGTGTGTGTGTGTTGTGGGGGAGTGTAGGGTAAGGAAAAATGTCAGGCTTTTCTGCCCTCCTGCCATCAGGAGAGATGATGGATCCTTGCGGTCCTGAATGCATGTCTGATGGCGGGCACCTGGAGTAGGGTGTGGGCATAGGTAGATGGGGTTCACCTGGGCTAAGACTGTGTTTTTAAGGGCGGCATCACGGGACACCAGTAGAAGCCAAAAGAGAAGCCGAGAGAGAAGCAAGAGAAGCAGAAACTGAGAGAAGGCCGGAGAGCCTAGAGTCTTCCTACCTGCTGGGGGCTGGGAGGCCTGCCAGCTTCCCGGCCCTCCAGCACCCCTGCGTGCCATATGCCTGGTGAACCCCAATAAAAGGCCTGCAAAACCACTGAGGACTCTGACTCCTCCTTTACCCGGTCTGCTGGATCCTAGAAAACCTGCACTGTGTCCCTTCCTGCCCTTACAGGGGGCTTTCTCCATTACCTGAGCCTCAGACTGGGAGAGGAAAGCGTTTGCCAGGCGCGTTTATTTGGCAGCTTCTGGGGAGGATCGGGTCGGGAGATTCGCCCCACTTCTCGGGGTGCTAGGCGGGGAGGGACAAGGGCTCGGAGACACGCTGGGGCCTCGGACGTCGCACCCCAGCACCCTCCTCCCCCACGCGGGTTTAGGTCCTTCCTAGGCCCCTCCACCTTGAGTAGTGCTTTCCGTTCGCTTTTAATTCACAATCACGGGTGATCTGCGATCAATGGGGAACGCCGGGTCCGCGCGTGGGGAGCCCCCTAACTGCTGGGAGGTGACTTTATTCCTGCGACCTGGACAACAGGGACCCGCAAGCTTCGCGGCCTCGCAGTTGGGGTGGGTGGGGTGAACCAGAAGAAGGAAGGAGAGGAGAATGACGAGGGAGTGAACTGTCTCGGTGAAAGGGGAATGGAAAGAGCAAGTGAGAAGTTCCCCGGGATGTGAGGTTCACAGCGAGGGAGCCAGCAGCGCCCCGGAGACGGAGACTCTGCGACCCCCGTGGGGTGTAAGCTTAGAAGACCGGGGTGGGGGCGGGGCGGAAGGGGGCCTCCGTTACCTTGGAGATTTTAAAGCCACCCTGTCTCCATCACGGGAAATCCGTTGCTTCCCAGGTGCAAGTATTCGGTTCTTTGTGAAAAGAGGATACTCAAATACGGCTGCTGACAGTCACACGTATATAGCAGAGGAACTCGGTTCAAGTTCAGATGCCATCCTAGGAACTATAAAACGTCTGTCCTGGGGCATCTCAACAAGATTCAAAGCCAGGTTGCTGGATTCAAAACCTAGAGCACTAATCATCTCACCACAGGGTTGACAGAGACACTATACAAGTTAGACATACTTCCGTGGTTGTGATATCTCCTTGATAGTTTTGCAGGAGCTCCAAACCAAGAGTTAGTGCAGGCTTCAGTGAGAGCACCCTGGTCATGAAAGCTGATGCCTTGTTGTTGCTGAACAAGAGGCAACAGCAAAATATAATTCTAGGCAATCCAGGCACTGTCACGTGCCCTTCTGTTGGGAGCATAAATTAGATTTCAGCAGAGGTGGGTCACTTTTGGGCCAGTCTGAAGCCTACACAATTTAGCAGGGGCAGGGGAGCTCTTTAAGTAAAGAATAGACATTATCAACACAATCAGATATGGCCATTCCAAGGATGAGTTGGAGTAGAAGGTGGCAGCAGTCTTAACTAATTTCTATTGTAATATACTTTCGCAAAGTTTACAAGAACATATTTCATACATGGCAATCCCTTCCTAGGCCTTTGAAAGGTTCTATGCAATTGAGAGGTCTTAATGCACTTAGTGAGAAAAATCATGATGAATACGTCTCCAAAAGGCAGTTTGCAATATCTATCAATATAATCTCTAAACTTTTTCTTTTAAAAAAAAAGTCATCCTGCAGAAATACATATATATATATATGCATATTCATTGTAGTATTTGCAACACCAGAAGCTTGAGAATGTGCCCAATCCATTTAATTGATAGAACATAAAGCTACTACAAAGAATGGGATGGATGTAACAAACATGTTGGTTTGGCAGTTTCTGGAGAGGATTTAAAGTTTAAAACAAAGAATTCCCAGCAACTTGCTGCATTGCCATGTATAGCATGCTCTAATTTCTGTCAGGCGTAATTAGTAAGTTTATATATTCACTTTTTAAAAAAATTTTTTTAAGATTTATTTATTTTATACAAGAACCAGGGTACAAACCAGATGTGCAGGAGGGTGAGAGGATTCACTAGAGACAAAGCGGGGAATAGGAAAGGCAGACTGATGAAATATACTGCTGAGGGGAGCAGCTGGCCAGACAGGAGAGGTCTGCCCCACCATATGGGACCCTCGCTGGCCGAACCGGCGCTGCAGAAGCTGCGGACAGCTTCACAGCGATGTGCTCAACCGCCTGAGCCACCAGGGAAGGTCCTATATTCACTTTTAAATAAGTTCAAGGAATATACATGAAACTTTTGGCCTCAATTTTCTGAGAAAGGGAATTGGAAATAAAGACTTTTCCCGATTTGCAATATTCTCTTTTTGTTATTTTGTGGATATATTTTTTGTTTACAAGTGTGTATGTGTGTGTGTCACTTTAGTAATTAAAAATGCAAATTTATAAAAAAAAATTAATGCCCTTCAGTAGAGGACTTAGAATTCATGTTTACTTCACAGTCACTGCTCAGCCTGGCCTTGAAGATGAAAGAGGAAATAGAATCCTTGGCTGCAAAAATTAAACTGATTTGTGGAAAAGCAGAAAAGTTAAGTGGCACATATTAATCGTGGCAAGGAAAATGAATGGCGAGGCTCCATCTTTACCCTTTGGAAGCTGATGACTGACACATGGACAAAAATTTTATATACAATTTCACCTCACTTTAGAAACTCACTTGAGACCGGTCACAGACCCCAAACGTAAGACTTTTTTTTTTTAAGATTTATTTATTTATTTACTTATGCAAGCACTGGGTACAGTCAGAAGTGAGGGAGGGTGAGAGAATTCACCAGAGCCAGAGCGGGGAACAGAACAGGCAGACTGAGAAATACACTGCTGACGGGAGCAGTGGGCACAGCAGGAGAGGTCTGTCGCGCCATGTGGGACCCTCGCCAGCAGGCGGCAGGCGGGGATCGAACTGGCGCTGCAGAGGCTGCGGGCAGCTTTGCAGCCCAGCACTCAACCGCTGGGCCACCAGGGGAGGCCCCGTAAGACTTTTTAGTTCAGAGATTTCCAAAAGAAATGTGCTGATTCTTCAAAATCTCAATCAGAAAAGCCAAAATGTGAGAAATTATCAGTAGGGGCCAAAGTGGGAGGGACGAGGGAATGGGGAAGAGGAAACATCCAGCAACTCAACAAACATTCCTCGTGCATCTATCATTTATTGAAGTTCTCTTAACAAGGCCTTGATTGGGATGGAAGAAGAGGAATCAAGTAGGTTCTTGCAATGATTCTTGCGCTTCCAGACTCCTGGCAGAAGTTCATGACCGCAGCCTTTTCCTCTTGCATCGGAGTCTTCTCTTTGGTTAATTGCACCCTCTCTGCTACTGCCAGCTCCGTGACTTTCGTATATATAGCATAGCAAAGCGCTGTCTTAAGGAGCATAAGCCAGGTGGGAATTTTCTGCTTGCTCCACTCTAGTGACTCACGAGGCTCTGAAAACATCCAGATTCTGCTTGTTGGTTTTCTGGGACCAGTTTCCCACGCTCGTTTATTTCAGGGCTCAGAAAGCGAGAGGAAGCAGAAACAGCTCCAGCTGCCATTAGGGGAAAGTTCACTCTTTCTGGGGCTTGGTGTTCCCGTCCATCAGATGGAAAGACGTAACCTCCTCTTACAGTTATTTCTCAGGACTGACTCGGAGCGACCGGGACAGGAGAGGGTGGCCCGTTACTAGCTAGAAAAGGCCGTGGCGGCGCCGCCCCAGGAGCGAACTTGGCAAACGCAGCGGGGAAGCGCTTCCATAGTAACCGTAGGGTGCGGCGGTGAGCACTGAGCGCGGCGGCAGTTTATCAGCAGGACGAGAAAACCCAGCTTCTCCAGAGACTCCCCACAGTGGGGGCGCCCCCCGCCCCCACCAAGGACCGCGGGGTAACTCTAGAGTTAGATCTCAGCCAGGTGCGGGATGCGCGTCGCCTCGTGTTTACTAGTCAACCCACCGCGACCATCGAGACGACGACACTTCCTGGAACCCTAGAGCGGACAGGAAATGAGGCGGAGGACCGGAAGTGGGGCGTGGCCCGGGAGGCGGGAACGCGCTGGGTGGTTGCCTGGTTCTGGGGCGCGGCACTTTCCGGGGAGTGTCGTCCTCCGACCGCTCCTTCGGCTTGGCGGGGGCGATCTCTGCTCCCCGGAGGTGTGAGCCGCTGCTGAGCCAACGTGGTCCCTCCCGGCGACGGCCGGGCCTCTCACGCCCCGTGTCGGCCTGGACTGCGAGGTGCTGTGGCTTCGGACCGACCCTCTCCCTGATTTTCTTGCCTGGACTCGTGTCCCAGGCTTAGTAAGGGCCAAAGTGTACTGGATAAACTCAGTTTTCTGTCTCCACCCAGTTGAAGACCTGGTGGCATTATTGACTAGCTCTCTGCTCACTCCTGGTCTTGTCACTTTCAATGGAATTGCTCTGGTAACTTGTCACATAATCAAGTCCTTTTTGTCTGCGATTGTAATTTTTTTCTGGGCTAACCGTATCTTCTTTCATCGCACTTTCCTGACCAAGGATTGGGTGGGGACCTCAAGGAAAGTCAGCCATCTCCCTCACCCCAATTGGAAAGAGCCTTCCTCTGAGCTGTGTAAGCTCAGGATGGCAACAAATTCCGGGGCCCTTGAAGCCTCGGCTGGCCAGGCTGCGGAGGATCAAGGGGAGATCATCAAAGTAAAGGTTAAGGAAGAAGACCATATTTGGGATCAGGAATCCTGCCTACAAGGGAATCTGTCTCAGACCAGGGAACACTCTCGCCAGCGCTTCAGGCATTTCTGCTATCAGGAGACACCTGGACCCAGGGAGGCGCTAAGCCAACTTCGGGAACTTTGCCACCAGTGGCTGAGACCAGAGATGCACACCAAGGAGCAGATTCTGGAATTGTTGGTGCTGGAGCAGTTACTGACCATCCTGCCCGAGGAGCTCCAGGCCTGGGTGCGAGAGCACCATCCTCAGAGCGGAGAGGAGGTGGTGACTGTGCTGGAAGATTTGGAGAGGGAACTGGATGAACCTAGACGACAGGTGAGAAATTGAAGGTGCCAGTTTCTGTGGAGGATTTGAGTGCTTGGATCCAAGGTGGAGTAAGTGGGATTAACTTTACATTGGTGGCTGCAAATTGCAGTGTGGAGCTTTATTATTTGATCACTGCTGTAGATGAACAGATGAATACAGTTTTTGTGTGATAGCTAAGTAGGTGATTTAACCAAATGGGAAATCTTGATCCATTACCAGTAAGAAACTATGTTGTATCTAGTGACTGAGATTAGCGTTGCTCTCTCTTCTTATAATGTCCAGAACTTTTGCCATGTATGAAAACAAATCAATGTAAGAATATAAAGAATACCTTCTAGGAGAGACATGGAGAAGTAGGCCAATATAATGGAAATATCAGGGAATGATGAATTAGAAGATGTGGACTTTGTAATAGACTCTGTCACTCATGAGCTGTATAACCTTGATGGTATCACACTTGCTCTGGGCCTCAGTGTCTTCTTTGCAATGAAGAGATTAATTGTATCATCTAGATACTTTTCAGTACCTGTAGTTGTTGGTACACAAGGAGTATTGAGTTCAGCATTCTATTTTTTTTTTAAGATTTATTTGTTTATTTATTTATACAAGCACTGGGTACAGTCAGAAGCGCGGGAGGGTGAGAGAACTCACCAGAGCCAGAGCGGGGAGCAGAGCAGGCCGAAGGACCGAGGTACACTGCTGAGGGGAGCAGCAGGCGGCAGGAGAGGTCTGCGCGCCATGTGGGACCCTCCTCTGGTGGCCGGGGATCGAACCGGAGCTGCAGAGGCTGCGGGCAGCTTCGGAACCCAGCGCTCAGCCACTGCGCCACCGGGGAGGCCCCAGCATTCTATTTTTTACCATTGCACTAGAGATTATTTTTAAGAGTATACTTGCTGTCTGTGCAGTAATTTTGGAACATTATATTGCCAAACACTTCCATTTTACTATTCATAATTTCTCGTAACATTTTGTGTATACAATTGGATCAGTTAAGATATATTTTTCTGGAATGTTAAAACTTTCATATAAGATTGTACACAGGGGGGGGCCTCCCCGGTGGCGCAGGGGTTAAGACGCAACCCTTGAAGCTCACCGCAGCCACCAAAGCACAGGTTCGATCCCCAGCCAGGGAGGGGACCCACATGGCGTGGCAGACCTCCCCTGACTCTGCCCGCTGCTCCCCTAAGCATTGTATTTTGGTCGATCTCCCTGTTCTGTTCCCTGCTGTGTCTCTGGTGAGTCCTCTCACCCCCCAAAACTCTGGCCTGTATCCCAGTTCTTGTATGTATAAATAAATAAATCTTAAAAGAAAAAAAAAGATTTTACACAAGGAAGTGCTGAAATTGTGCTGGCTTATGGGTGAGTTTTTCCAGCAAGTTGTAAGAACTGCAGAATACAGGCCATCTGGTTATAGCCAAATGCAGAAAGTGGTGAAGACATACAGTACTGGGGGCCTCCCTGGTGGTGCAAGGTGTTAAGCAGTCAGCACTATGAAGCTATCCGTAACTACTGCAGCATGAGTTTGATCCCCAGCCAGGGAGCTGACCCACGTGGCCCAGCAGACCTCTCCTGTCTCTCCCTCTGCTCCCCTCAGCAGTGTATTTCATTCAGTCCGCCTGTTCTGCCCCCCACTCTGTCTCTGGTGAATCCTCTTGCCCCTCCTCTCCCAACCTCTGGCCTATACCCCAGTTCTTGTATGCATAAATTAACAAATCTTTAAAAAAAAAAAAAAGACATACAGTCCTGGACATAACCCCCATTCACGTCCACATCCTCCTTTTTGGCTTTCTTGAACACAATCTCTGTTTTGGAAGTGATTATTTGCACGGTTCCCTCCCATATTTGTGTCTCTCTTTCTAAACTTTTTTGTATTCCAGAAAATGAGCCAGCAAAGGGTTTTGCAAGTGCCATAGAAGCATGCTGATGATAATACAGTGGGGAGGAGGAGAAACGATATTTTTCAAATGGATCTGCTCATTACCTTAACTAAGTGATCAAATTTAGCATTATCAATAATGAAATAGCTTGATAACATGTATCTTGTGATGTGACACAGTAAATATATATCACTTACCAGAATCTGTTAGTGAAAACAATGTTTAAGCATTAACTAGCTTGTAGGCTTAAAAATACATTGTTTGAGGGGACAACTGAGGAAATTTAATTTAACACCATATACTAGTGTAAGGAGAGTATAATGGTTTTTTTTTTTTCCTTCACCCAAAACAGTTATCCAACTTGATTATTTTTTTCAGTAACATACTTTTTATCCACAACACACTGGGCTAATGTTTTCCACATTTGTCTAAAACAAACATCATATTCCTTCTGGGATCAAAAGCTAATTAGTTTATATTAGATAATTTGTATATTCCTCACCCCAAGTATTTACTTCTCATTGTTCATACTGAAACTCCTTATAATTTCCTCTCAGTTATCAAAATTTTTTTTCATTTTTTTATATTAATTTTTTTATTTTTTTACATCATTGTTCATCATTAAACAATATTTGCTTCCTCCCCCTCAGTTATCAAAATTTTGAACAGATTCCTTTATTGTGTTTTTGATGTTGTTTCAGAAACCACAGGAAGAACTACTAGCTCCTTTTACTGTCTTTATTGGGCCAGTGTATTTTGTTTCTCATTCCACCTTGTACTCTTCTAAAGATTCAATGAAAACTTTTTTTTTCTCCTTATAGTCTACTTCAGTAGAAGAATGTTTTTAGGTTTAGCTATGGTTTGTACAGTGATTACTTACATTAACTCAAATGTACCTGTTTGTCCCCAGGTCCCACAAGGCCCATTTGGGCAGGAAGTTTCTATGGAAGAAATGGCTCCTCTGGAAGCTACAAAGGAACCCTTAGGTACCCAGCTCCAGTCTTTGGAAGACAGGATGGACTGTGACTCTCCAGAGCCACACACACTTCAAGATAATGGTGAGGATAATAGTGTCTGGAAGGAAGATGAGATTTGGGAGAGGAAAGGTTCTAGCCACTGAAAATTTTCCAAACTTCATCCCATTCACACTTCTACTGAATATGGCTACAGGGAAAAAAAATCAGCCAGTCTAGTGCTAGATTAATAAAGTTGCTGAACTAAGCAGTCAGGGTAATCCTGTAAAAAATAGTTGAATATAAGCTTTTCCCTGCTTTTCCTTTGCAATGGAGTTAAATACCTATGGATAAATCAGAGCTGTCACTCTATGTAAATGTTAGGAGCATTTACATATGTCCCATTTCTACAACCTCGGTCCCCAAATTTTGTCACTTAAGACTTGGAAATACTACTTAGAAATTCTACAGAAGGGGCCTCCCCAGTGGCGCAGCGGTTGAGCGCTGGGTTGCGAAGTTGCCAGCGGCCACTCCGTCGCCAGTTTGATCCCCGGCTGCTCCCTGGCCACTCCCCGGCCTCCGGAGGAGGGTCCCACATGGTGCGCAGACTTCTCCTGCCTCCGGAGGAGGGTCCCACATGGTGCGCAGACTTCTCCTGCCTCCCGCTGCTCCCCTCAGCAGTGTACTTAGGTCCTTCTACCTGCTCTGCTCCCCGCTCTGGCTCTGGTGAATTCTCTCACCCTCCCACACTTCTGACTGTACCCAGTGCATGTATAAGCAAAACAAACAAACAAATAAATAAATAAAACATGTCTCTATTAAAAAAAAAAAAAAAAAGAAATTCTACAGAAGGGGGTCTCCGTGGAGGTGCAAGGGTTAAGATGCAGCCTCAACCTATGAGGCTGTCCGCAGCAGCCATGACCAGTTCGATCCCCAGCCAGGGAGCTACCCACAAGGCGCAGCAGACCTCTCCTGACTCACCCGCTGCTCCTCTCAGCAGTGTATTTCAGTCAGTCTGCCTGTTCTGTTCCCCACTCTGTCTCTACTGAATCCTCTCACCCCCCACACCTCTGGCCTGTACCCCAGTTCTTATATGCATAAATAAAAAAAATCTTTTAAAAAAAATTCTACAGAAGGAAATGGAATGTCTAAAGTTATGTCTATTAGAGATCCTACAGTGCAATGTGGAGTGGAGGCAGGAGCACCGGCTGGCCTAGTTCTGGAGCAACTGTCTTTTCCAAAAGGCTTAAGTATAACCAATACATATTTTTCCTCCTCTTATAGCTGTACCAACTCCCTATTCCCTGCTTATCCTAGACCTACTAAAATCAATTTGAATAACTTCTGGAGCTCAGAACTCCCTGGTTGTTATTTACATTGCTATAGCTTGCCTTTTCTGCTCATGGCTTCATAGAAAAGCACACACTATATCAGTGTGGGAAGAAATACTAGCCATATAATGTTCTCTTCAGTCACATTTGGAGATAACACTACCAGGGCTGTCATCTTCATTGTAAGTTAGTCAATTTTGATGTAGCCCTTTTTCTTTTCTTTTTTTTAAGATTTATTTTTTTATTTATGTATACAAAAACTGGGTGTAGGCCAGAGGTGCGGGGTGGGGGGTGAGAGGATTCACAAGGGACAGTGGGGAGCAGAACAGGCAGATCTACTGAAATACACTGCTGAGAGGAGCAGTGAGGAGGCAGGAGAGGTCTGCTGCACTATGTAGGTCACCTCCCTGGCTGGGGATGAACTCATGCCGCAGTGGCTAGCTTGATAGCACTGAGACTTTAATCCCTGTGCCACCAGGGAGGCCCTGCAGCCCTTTTTTCTATGTAGTAATATGTTAGATGATGGAAAGATACTAGAGAAATAAGTGATCCCTACCTCTTCATAAACTTAAACTCTTGCTCTACATATGAAGCTATAAAAGAAAAAAGCATTACACTAGTTTGTGTTATGAATAAATTATGTTTTTCAAGAAAGGAGAATTCAATGTGAATTTAAATTAAATGATCAAGGAATTCTTATTGGAACAATTGAGAATTAAGTGAAACCCAAACACCCAGTAACATATCATTAATATACTTTGTTTTGGAAATTATGAACAATTAAGTATGGTTTAAAATTTGCCAATTCAACATGCAATTTGCAGCAACATGGATGGAGCTGGAAGGGATCATGCTCAGCGAAATAAGACAGAAAGAAAAAGAAAAATACTGGATGGTCTCACTCATAGCAGGAATCTAGAAAACTTAAATAAGAGACCAGGAAAAATAATATATCAAAAGAATATATCAAAATATATAAAAGAAAGAAAATATCAAAATCAACAAACAACTATGAACCAGAGATACTCTATGGGGGGTGGCGGGCGGGGAAAGGAGGGCTTGGGTCAAAATAAGGGGTTGTAATTGTAAGGGGAATATAAAAATAAAATTTAAATTAAAAATAATAAAATTTGCCAGTTCAATATGTGTTATAAGAATAGGTAGTTTAAACAATGTTGACTTGAGAGAAAGTATTTTCCCAAGCAGCTATAAGACTATTGTTGACACTAATTCTAAATAATTCAAGACTGTATGTATTTTATTTTATTTTATTTTTTTTTAAAGAAGAAACTTTTTTAAAATTTATTTATTTATACAAGATTGATTGATTGATTGATTGATTCAAGCACTGGGTACAGTCAGAAGCACGGGAAGGTGAGAGAATTCACCAGAGCCAGAGCAGGGAGCAGAGCAGGGAGAAGGGGAGGGGAGCAGCCGGAGGCAGGAGAGGTCTGCACGCCATGTGGGACCCTCCTCCAGTGGCCGGGGAGCAGCCAGGGATTGAACCGGCGCTACAGAGGCTGCGGGCAGCTTCGCAAGCCAGCGCTCAACCGCTGCGCCACTGGGGAGGCCCAACTGTATGTATTTTAAATTACATTCCTATACATTCTAATTGTTTTTTTTTTTTCTTTACACATTAGGGTCATTTTGTGGCTTTCCATGATGTCTCAAAGCATGGGTGATGATAACCTCAGTAGCTTGGATTCTAATGAAGCAGAAATTGAACCAGAAAACATGAGAGAAAATTTTTCAGAAGCTTAGTAGTGTTACTAGAAAATAAAAGTAATAATACCAAGATATTTTCTAAAGCAAAGTACTGTCAGTTAATAAAGGAAGTGAAAGAGGCTAAAGCTAAGGCAAAAAAGAGTCAGTTGACTATCGTCGATTGGCTAGATTTGATGTGATTCTGGTACAAGGCAATGAGAAGCTGATTGAAGCTGTAAACGGAGACACAGATAAAATACGGTATTATTTACACAGTGAGGACTTATTTGACATTCTGCACGATACACATCTCAGCATTGGACATGGCGGACGTACCCGCATGGAAAAAGAGTTACAAGCAAAATATAAGAACATCACAAAAGAAGTTATTATGCTATACTGACACTCTGCAAACCTTGCCAGCAGAAAAATTCAAAACTCAAGAAAGTTCTAACTTACAAGCCACTTAAGGAAGTTAACTCAAGATGTCAAGTGGATCTTATAGACATGCAATTGAATCCTGATGGGGAGTACAAATTTATTATGCATTATCAAGACCTTCGTACAAAGTTGAGCTTTTTGCGGGCATTAAAATCTAAAAGACCTAAAGAGGTTGCGCATGCTCTGTTAGATATTTTACAATCACTGGTGCCCCCAGTGTCCTACAATCTGACAATGGGAGGGAGTTTTCAAGCCAGATTGTCAGTGAACTCAGTAATATTTGGCCAGAACTGAAAATTGTCCATGGGAAGTCTCAACCTTGCCAAAGTCAAAGTTCTACTGATCAGACTAATGAGGACATCCAAAATAGGATTATCTCCTGGATGCAAACTAACAATTCATCACACTGGGCTGAATTTTTATGGTTCATTCAGATGACCCAAAACCGTTCCTATCACAGAGGCATGCAGCAGGCTCCATGTGAAGGTCCTTTTAGCTCTGAGGCTAAACTGGGCCTGTCTCATTCTCAGTTAACTGAAGAGCTTGTTGCCAGCCTGAACACAGATAATGACTTAGAACAGCCTGACAGAGAGTTAGAAAATACTCTAAGAGCGCACTATGAAGAAAACACTGAGACCGGCACAGAGAGTAGTGACATTGAAGAGAATCTTTCTCTTCCTCCCCTGGTGGCCCAAAGAAACCACCCTGAAAACAGACTAAAATTTTTATCTTGTGTAGTCTGTGAAAAAGAGTGCACAGGTGCTAATAGTTGTATGTCCTGTGACAGGAATGTCTACCCCGTCTGTGGCGTCCCCTCTTCACATGAGGCTGAGGGCTGTCACCATAGAATAACTTGCAGTCTCTGCAATGAGACCACTGCTGTGAAGAGGAAACAGAGTGAGATTCAAAGAAGCTTGAATGTTCAACCTTCAAAAATGCTGAAGTCATCAGAGACACCTTTTTCATCCAACAAAGTAGGAGATTGGGTAAGAGTTTGAGTGTCTGCTATAGACCAAAGCAGAGGAGAGCCTCTTTACACTTTGCTGTGACCATGATGAGTGAGAATTTTTTAAAAAAAAGATTTATGTATTTATGCATACAAGAACTGGGGTACAGGCCAGGGTGTGGGGGTAAAAGGATTTGCCAGAGACAGAGTAGGTAATAGAACAGGCGGATTGACCAAAATACACTGCTGAGGGGAGAAGCGGGCAAGATAGGAGAGGTCTGCTGCGCCATGTGGGTATTTCTCTGGCTGGCCGGGAATTGAACTCTTGCTGCAGAGGCTGCAGATAGCTTCACAGTGCTGAAGCTTAACACCTTGTGCCAACAGGGAGGCCCTGAGTAAGAATATTTTTTTTTAATGATTTATTTATTTATGCATACAAGAACTGGGTATAGGCCAGAGTTGGGGTGTGGGTGAGAGGATTCACCAGAAAACAGAGTGGGGAACAGAACAGGTAGACTGACTGAAATACACTGCTGAGGGGAGCAGCAGGCAAGTCAGGAGAGGTCTGCTGCGCCATGTGGATAGCTCCCTGACCAGGGATCGAACTTATGCTGCAGTGGCTACGGCAGCTTCATAGGTTTCGTCTTAACCCCTTGTGCCACCAGGGAGGCCCCTGAGTGACAGTGTTTTGACGTGATATGTTAAAGCACCACGCAGGCCATCTTTGATATGTTTTCTCCAAAAGAAGGCCCTCCCCCACTTCTTTTGTTCAAGTTGGAAGTTACAGCC